TATGTTTGTTATTTCAAGTAAAAAATGACTACTACGTAAAACTTTTTTAAGAGTGTTGGTTTCAAAATGAAAATATGTGTACAAAATTCCAAACAAAATAGTGCCGTATATATTGAAACTATTTTAATATATATATATATATATATAAATTTTGAAAGAACAAAAGAAGTGCTACAGATTGATATTTCTAATTTCATTTTAAAAAATTACCAACTTGGTGGGAATCTATAATTTATTTTCGTTTTACAAGATTCTTGTAATTTAGACGATAACAGAGGTGTTGGAGCGGAGCGTAAAAACGCCCTCTGGTGAGAGATTGTGAACATAGCTGGTCAGATTTTACAAACACGTCCACAGGTTTTCTTTTTTTCATTTTGTTTGAAAGACCATGTGATATTGTAACATCTATGCCCGTTTTTCCTAGGGGTTACTATAACATAGTAATGTTTCACAAAAAATAAACACCTAAAATATTTAATGCATAGATGCATGATACGTGTACATGTACATTATAAAATAGAAGGTTGGAATTGATATCGCTCGAGAACCAAACTGAACCAAAATTTATCTGATTCAAAATTTTAATAAATCAGGACATAAAACGAAACTGACAAAATAAATGGTTGTTTGCATGAAAAAAAAAAATTAATGCCCCATGCCAGACTCGAACCAAAAACTTTTCGCTTCGAGCGCACTGAACAGGTAGCCCTACTTACTGAGCTATCACCGCTACACGACTTCAGATGATTTAAAAGGACAAAGAAGCACAACATTCACACATTTGGATTTTTTGGGAAAAAGTACATTTTTCGTGGTCTCTGGGTCTTCTCTCCATTTTTTAAAAATATGTATTCGTTTCTTTGAATTAAAATACACACCAATATCGTTTCAAAATCATGGAAAGAAGACCCAGAGATAGAATTTTTTTTAGAAAAACGTGTTTAAAAATGTCCCATTTTGTACCAAAAGTCTGATCTGGCCAATTTTCAAGTTATTTTTTAGCAAATCAAAGCTCAAATTCGGGAAAATATTTCCCTTTCCTGTTGCAGAGGAACCCAATAAATAAAAAAAATTATAAAATTTCATGTGACATGTCGATCAAATTTTCGATTTTCAATTACGCCCAGATTCCTGCCGAATGCCAATCAAAAGCGCCCTCGTTCTTTAAGCTCCTGGCTCCAGGATCGTGAAACAAACCAAGACTTAAGTGAAATTTTTAATCGCCGATAAAATATTTATTAATTATGGAATTTATATCTTCAGTTGCACATAACAACATCTCTGTGAAAATGTATTAAAAATATCCCTAACCCTCACCCTAATCCTTCTGGTCTGCTTGCTTCATTTTACAACATTTTATTATAAAAAAAAAGATTTTGATCGACTTAGGCTTAAGATGTTTCAAGATCCCGTATCAGCATTTTTCAAGTAATGTGTTATATGTTAAATGACCTAACTGATTTTTTATTCATCAAACAGAATGAAATAAAGGTTGTAAATGATGAAATCAATGGGAAGATTTTTGATCACTTAATGGATCAAGTATAGCCCTAACCCTGGCGATAACAATCTTGGCAGAGCGTTATACATGCTGACGATTCCCCTGCTGTTCTTTAAAAGCTTTCTTTGCTTCTCAAACCATTTGATGTACAATGATTCTCTACTTAATACTGTTACGTAATTGATTGATAAAATTCTGAACTGAAGCATCTGGGAAAAGAAACAAGAAGAGGCAAACTAATTTACAATGTAATATCGTCCATAATATAATCGTTGGATAAGAGTGAAGTATAACACTTCAGCAACATACAAATCTATTTACACAGTAAAGAATAAAAAGCGAACTTGAATAAGAATTTTTTTTTCTGTTTTCACTGCATTACTCTCAGGCACTGTATTATATAAGTTTTTTACAATAGGGCAACTAAGAGAAAATATCTGACTACGTGCCTGCCCTAATGTAGATTTTCCGCAACTTCCATGGAATTCCAAAGCATATTCCATGGAATTCCATGGAATTTTTGTTCCGCGGAATTCTTAAGAATTCTCCGGAGTATTGGGACGGAACTTTTTTCGGAATGATTTGGAATTTTTAATCTAGCCTGGAAAAGAGCGGAACAATGCCAGAATGGAAATTTGCGGAGGAAATCCATGGAATTCCAGGATGTTTGTAAATCTAAGGAATTCCATGGAAAACCATGGAATTCCAGGATTCCAATTTCCAAATACGTGTACAATGAAAACTGAAATAATAAGTGCCAAATAATTACAAAAAAAATTGATAACATCACAATTTTTAGCTCTACTGGTCAGAGACCAGAAGAGCTTATGCGATAGTAATGCGTCCGGCGTCCGTCCGTCTGTCTGTCTGTCCGTCTGTAAACAATTTTTCAAAACGCTACTCCTCCTACAGTTTTGGTCTGATTTCAATATAACTTGGCACACAAGTAGACTACACTAAGATACATAGAATAGTGCATCGGTTTTTGATTTCGATGAACGGTGTTGCCATGGTTACTAAAAATAGAATTTTCTGTGAAATTCCTTAAAAACGCTACTCCTTCTACAGTTTTGGTCTGATTTCAATATAACTTGGCACACAAGTAGACTACACTAAGGTACATGGAATAGTGCATCGGTTTTTACTAAAAATAGAATTTTCTGTGAAATTCCTTTAAAACGCTACTCCTTCTACAGTTTTGGTCTGATTTCAATATAACTTGGCACACAAGTAGACTACACTAAGATACATAAAACAGTGCATTGGTTTTCAATTTCGATGAACGGTGTTACCATGGTTACTAAAAATAGAATTTTCTGTGAAATTCCTATAAAACGCTACTCCTTCTACAGTTTTGGTCTGATTTCAATATTACTTGGCACACAACTAGACTACACTAAGATACATAGAATAGTGCATCGGTTTTTGATTCTATGAACGGTGTTGCCATGGTTACTAAAAATAGAATTTTCTGTGAAATTCCTTAAAAACGCTACTCCTTCTACAGTTTTGGTCTGATTTCAATATAACTTGGCACACTAAGGTACATGGAATAGTGCATCGGTTTTTAATTTCGATGAACGGTGTTGCCATGGTTACTAAAAATAGAATTTCTGTGAAATTCCTTTAAAACGCTACTCCTTCTACAGTTTTGGTCTGATTTCAATATAACTTGGCACACAAGTAGACTACACTAAGATACATGAAATAATGCATCGGTTTTTAATTTCGATTAACGGTGTTGCCATGGTTACTAAAAATAGAATTTTCTGTGAAATTTCTTAAAAACTCTACTCCTTCTACAGTTTTGGTCTGATTTCAATATAACTTGGCACACAAGTAGACTACACTAAGGTACATGGAATAGTGCATCGGTTTTTAATTTCGATGAACGGTGTTGCCATGGTTACTAAAAATAGAATTTTCTGTGAAATTCCAGTTTTGGTCTGATTTCAATATAACTTGGCACACAAGTAGACTACACTAAGATACATAGAATAGTGCATCGGTTTTTGATTTCGATGAAGTTTACCATGGTTACTAAAAATAGAATTTTCTGTGAAATTTCTTAAAAACGCTATACAGTTTTGGTCTGATTTCAATATAACTTGGCACACAAGTAGACTACACTAAGGTACATGGAATAGTGCATCGGTTTTTAATTTCGATGAACGGTGTTGCCATGGTTACTAAAATAGAATTTTCTGTGAAATTCCTTTAAAACGCTACTCCTTCTACAGTTTTGGTCTGATTTCAATATAACTTGGCACACAAGTAGACTACACTAAGATACATAAAATAGTGCATTGGTTTTCAATTTCGATGAACGGTGTTACCATGGTTACTAAAAATAGAATTTTCTGTGAAATTCTTTTAAAACGAAAGTTTTTCTGATTTCAATATAACTTGGCACACAAGTAGACTACACTAAGATACATATAATAGTGCATCGGTTTTTGATTTCGAGTGTTGCCATGGTTACTAAAAATAGAATTTTCTGTGAAATTTCTTAAAAAATACATGATTTCAATATAACTTGGCACACAAGTAGACTACACTAAGGTACATGGAATAGTGCATCGGTTTTTAATTTCGATGAACGGTGTTGCCATGGTTACTAAAAATAGAATTTTCTGTGAAATTCCTTTAAAACGCTACTCCTTCTACAGTTTTGGTCTGATTTCAATATAACTTGGCACACAAGTAGACTACACTAAGATACATAGAATAGTGCATCGGTTTTTGATTTCGATGAACGGTGTTACCATGGTTACTAAAAATAGAATTTTCTGTGAAATTTCTTAAAAACGCTACTCCTTCTACAGTTTTGGTCTGATTTCAATATAACTTGGCACACAAGTAGACTACACTAAGGTACATGGAATAGTGCATCGGTTTTTAATTTCGATGAACGGTGTTGCCATGGTTACTAAAATAGAATTTTCTGTGAAATTCCTTTAAAACGCTACTCCTTCTACAGTTTTGGTCTGATTTCAATATAACTTGGCACACAAGTAGACTACACTAAGATACATAAAATAGTGCATTGGTTTTCAATTTCGATGAACGGTGTTACCATGGTTACTAAAAATAGAATTTTCTGTGAAATTCTTTTAAAACGCTACTCCTTCTACAGTTTTGGTCTGATTTCAATATAACTTGGCACACAAGTAGACTACACTAAGATACATAGAATAGTGCATCGGTTTTTGATTTCGATGAACGGTGTTGCCATGGTTACTAAAAATAGAATTTTCTGTGAAATTCCTTTAAAACGCTACTCCTTCTACAGTTTTAGTTTGATTTCAAAATAAGTTGGCACACAAGTCGACTACACAAAGATACATAAAATAGTGCAATGGTTTTTGATAAGTACAAACCAGTAGAGCTACAGTCTCGACAGAGACTTCTGGTTCATACATCAAATCTATATTTTCAAAATAAAAAATTCATTGTTTGTTTTACAATGTTTTTTTTTTTAGACAAATATTGCCTATAATCTCAGATGTACAATATAAGCACACTTTTTAAATGTATTCTCACTGGAAGTATTTTACAACAAAGGTTATTTACAAAAATATCCAGAGAAGAATATGATTACTGGAGAATCACCTTGATTAAATTAATGATAATCATGTTAAGATATACATGTATTTAGTATACTCCAGTCTGCATTTTCTAAAATAAGAAGTTAGTTTTATTAAATGACATTGGACATGGAATTGGAGAGGTCATCGAAACCTCAACAGAGTATACATTTACAATGAACTGCCAGTGGCTTATGTACTGGTACAGAGTTAATGACTAGAGTGACAAACACATGTATTAAATGCAAAAAATATGTACTACACAACTATATTGATACAAAGATCCCATAAAATCAACAGATGCTAAAGTATTTTCCCCCAACGTACGTGCCAAAGATCCCAATTAATGAAGATCCAAAACTTCCGACGTGTTTGCTAGAGAATCACTTCCTCCCTGATATCCCATGAAATTAGTAAATGGTTATGTTATAGGGTTGACAGATAATTGGTGTCACAAACGCATTCATTTTCAGTACGAAGGCTCAGAAAGTTGGATGATGATCATTCCCACAGACACTTCAAACTTTCCTTGCACAATTTCTGAAAGAAAAGATGACCATTAAGATGCATCATTATTGATATCCATATAAATATATGACAAATAATAAACTAAAACTACACAAAACAACTGGTTTTTTCGACCTGGCAAATCAGTTTACCGTAGAATATGAATTCACTATCTTGCATTTTTTTGTTCAAATTAGGATTAATTCTGATAAATATAAAAATGTGAAAAGTTTATAGATGACAGACAACATCAGACACTGATCAAAAAACTCACTTAGGCCTTAAAATGATTCAGGTGAGCTAAAAAGAAAAGGTTAGAGCTCAAGCTCAATGCCTGAGGCCTGACTGATACTGAAAAAGATGTGATTTTATTGATTTGAAAATAACTAAGAAATCTGACCTTTTGGGTTTTTTTTCGTACAGCTTTTGTCCTTGTGAGCATAGGGATTCCTGTAGAATGGATGGTTACTTCATAGTAGATGATTGCAGCATGTTTGATCTAAAATAATTATGCATGCCTGTGCAGTTAGCACGTTTAGATTACCTGTCAGAATTCATTGTTTTAAATTATTAGAATAAGGAATTTAAGCGTGTTAAGAATATAAACCTTTAAATTTTGTTTACATGGCAAACTTGCAATAATTTTTTTTTAATCTTATGCTATTCAGCTAATAGGCATGGATTAATAAAATCAAAGTTAGTTTACTTGGTTTGAATGATAATTTGAGCTAGTTCTCACCATAGTCACAAGCCTAGTGACTGATTGGCTAAGCATCTACATCCACCAAGTTATAAAACGCCATCGCTGTGGTGATCATCTCAGGCACTATGCAGCAACTATAAAATAATTAAAATAAGAGCTGAAAATGATCATGAACATGCATTAAAAATATATAATTTATTACATTGTACATCATACTCTGTAAATGTTATCTTAATGCTTTACATCAGTTCGATCCCAAACGAGGAAATTTGAGTTTAAATCCATGATCTTAAATTATTACAAAATTGAAATAGTGAACTAACGATTTCACCGTCGGGCAGTTTTTGTGTGGTGTCCAGACTAGGCCTAATGAACAGTAGCAGAAGCGTTCTTCATTCAAGGACACATAAAATACTGTACAATATTGTACCTACCAGGTCTTAAAATGTCTTCATCTTCTTCCATCCAAAGCTAAACATGATTCCCCTGTTCTAGACACCCTCTTTCCAACTTTCCTTCTGTGCAACATCAACATGGCATTCGATATTTTTGAATTTCGGCGTGTTGTTTAAATTAATTGTTCATCGAGCCCGACTTCGAGCCCGATGTTATTGTACTATTATTCGACAGTTAAAAAAATCAAAGTAATTTTCCACAGTTTTCCAGCGCAGAAAATGGCTAAGTTTCTCATCTTATCATTTTTTTTGTCCCCCGCTTGAAAAGTGGGGGATATTAATTTTTTTTGTCTGTCTGTAACGCTTTCGTTTCCACACGATATCTCAAGAACCATTTGAGCTATTGCTATGAAATTATATCTAACAACTCCCTGTGGCCTAATGAAGTCCCCTATTGATTTTGAGGTCAAAAAAAGGTCAAGGTCATAAATAAGCAAATTCTGTCTGTTAAAACACTTTCGTTTCCACACGATATTTTTTGAGCTATCGCAATGAAATTTTATATAAAACTCCCTGTTAAAGAAGACCCCTATTGATTTTGAGGTCAAAAGGTCAAAGTTCAAGGTCGTAAATTTATACATTCTGTCTGTGTGTAACACTATCATTTCCGGGCGATATTTCAAGAAGATTTTGACACAAAACTAGGACGTCTCTCGCCCCTCTCAAAGTGCCCCGCCCCGTTTGTTTTATTAGTATTTATAGTATTACATGTCGCTATTTTTAGCGCAGGGACATGAGGAGAGTTATTGCGTATAAAACAGGTTCTCGGCGGACTTTATGTTCTTATTACATCTATTATAACTGTTTAATAAAGGCTAAATAAATCAAACACCATGGATTGTGAAACATGAAAACATGAATATATACATGTATGTGACTTCAGTTCTGCATATACTTCTCTTAGTGTAAAGTGACTCCGTGGTCTAGTGGATACGTCACTCGCTTCAAATGTGAGAGGTCCCGGGATCGAATCTCGGTCGAACCTTTTTTTTTTTTTTTTTAAATACTTTTTTTTTTACTAAATGATAGTATTCAGCATGTGAAATGAAAAATTTAATAAAATCATTTAAATCTTCTATAACATAATAAAGAATAAGCAATCAAATCTTTATATGCATATGACATACTTTGATACATGTATACATTTAATAATTCTACAAATTCAAAACAGTGAGATTTATATGAGTTTCCAAACCAAAAAATGTCTAAGTCCAATTTTTTTTTTCAAATTCCAAAATATTAAAAACTTCCAGACACACTTTTCAAGTTTGGTATAGAAGTGATTGTAATTCCATGGAATTCCAAAACTTTTCCAAACCCTTTGGAAAATCTACATTAGGGTGATGTTTATATAGTAAAGCCAAGCATAATTTTACTGAAAATGAGCAATCAATTATTTAAACATAACATGTAAAATGACTTAATCTTTGATACACAGCACAAAACAGTGAGATTTATATGATAAGGCATTATTTATAGAGAACTGAAGCGAGCATGTCCAAAGATGAAAGCACGGATTATATTAAAGACAAGATCATTCAGTAATGTAAATAAAAGCTCGTTTCCTCCTGGGACGAACCTTGGAGTTTATGCATGTATCGAAATTTCCACCATCGAACTATCTAAACATTTTAAAAAAACGACTGCATACATATGTAAGCCCTGGTTAAATCTAGTACTGTCTGACGCCGTGACGTCAGACACAAGATGTGTTTGTGAAACACTGATGCCCCCGTATGGAAACATAGCAAATATTATGCTTTTCTTAAATGCAAAATTAATTAATTGGTACCTAAAGTAGGGTATTCCCACTGGGAAACAATTGTGAAATTTGAGAGTAAGCCAATAATAAAGTTTTTTTAATAGTACCAAGTACCAAGGTCAAGGTCAAAAGGTCAATGTAATAAGTATCAAATGAAAGGTCTTCCCACATAGAATACTTATGTAGAGCTTGAAAGCCCTACCCCTAACCGTTCAGAAGTTATGGCCAACGTTCAATTTTTTAAAAAGTAGGTCAAACTCCAAGGTCAATGTTCTTGATATCAAATGAAAGGTCTTGTCATAAGAATTAAAAATGTAAAGTATGAAAGCACTAGCCCTAACTCTTTAAAAAGGATGGTAAAGGTTTGCTTTTTTAAAGTAGGTCAATCTCAAAGGTCAAGGTCAGAGGGTCAAAGTTCTTGGTATCCAATGAAGGGTTTTCTCACAAGGATTACATATATGAAGTATGAAAACCATATCCCTTACCGTTCAAAAAAAAGGCCAAGCTTAAAGTTTTTCACAAGTACGGAAATCTACAAGGTCAACGTCAAAGGGTCAAGGCTGTTGGTATCTAATGAAAGGTCTTTCAAGAAACATTACATATGCAAAGTATAAATGTCCTGGTATCTACTGTTCAAAATATATCGCCAAAGTAAAAGTTTAAAATTTTCATGTAAAAGTGGGTCAATCTCCAAGGTCAAGGTCAAAAGGTCAAATTTGGTGGTACCCAAAGAAAGGTCTTGTCACAAGGAATACACATATGAAATATAAAAGTTATAGCTCCACTAAATCAAAAGTTATGGGCAAGATAAAAGTGTTTTTTCGGAAAAACAGACAAACAGAGAGACAGACAGACAAAAACTATATACCCCCAAAACTTCGTTTACGGGGACATAAATATTATCGATGCACATGAAATTCTTACCCCTTTAGCAGTTTTCAATCGTGACTGTTAAAATAGTATCAAATATATTTAAAATGTGAAGCAGCCAAAAGAAAGAAAAATCATCGTACAAATAAGACATTGAAAGTGTAATTTGTGTCCCATACAAGAAATGTATTTAAAAAACGTTTTATTTTATGTACCCCTTACAAATATAGTACGGTTTGGATAATGAGAATGTTCTGTTTATATAACTTTTCACAGGCACATAGATGAAAGTTGAAAGAAGCCATCTTTCCCTTTTTCAAACATTGTTTTACTATAACATTTGATTTTATATAAAAATGTTAAATCCCTTTTCCTCCACAGGATTTGTAAGGAAAGTGTTTGCTCACACATGCACCCCCTTTTTCTTTAAAAACGATAGTACGTTCCTGATATCATATAAAAAATGTAAGATATATTAAGTCAAATGAAAAAAAAAAAATAATTTATATCCCGTCAACAGTGAGTTACCAAAAAGGTTACTCTAAATTGTACCCCCCTTCCTTCTCAAAACGACATTACGAGTATATACATGTACACTGTTTATAGATTCAATGTAGTCTCGACTGTCTCAAACTGGATTAGAAACTGCAGTGTTATGGTTTTATATATTTCAGTGTTTGACGCTAAAATATAAAACCATAATGCTATCTGCAGCTAAAACTGGATGAACTTAGTCATTCTTGTCTTGCTGTCCAAAAAGAAAAAAAAATCTCCAATACCGGTACTACGTGAACGTGTGCAATATACTGCATACGTATTCACTACTATACAAATTGCCCGTTATGCAGATTATCCCACGTTTCCAACTATCGTTGATGCTCTTGCATCGCCCGCATGGCGCAGTGGTTAGAGCGTCTGCTCTAGAGTCGCGAAGTAAGTAGTCGATCCTTACGTCGCGGGTTCGAATCCCACCGAGGTCCCGTCTCGCAGTAGGTGCTGGCACGAAAAAGATTTCTCACTGTTCAATGACGCTGAGTGCATGCCGAGTATAAGACAAAATTTGTACCTCTCCAACGGTAAGCGGTGGCGTCTCCATACATGTATGAGTGAAAAAAACTCAAGAGGGACGTTAAACAACATGCAGTAAATCAACCATTGATGCTCTCGCATACTAAACAAACTAGACAGTGACAATAACTCTGAAAATTCAGAGGAAGAGAGTTGTGATACGGATCCCCCTTCAACCTGTTGATTTGCCTTTGTTATACTCAGAGGGTCTTTACACACATATATTTATATTCCGTGTATTTTTCCTTATGAAATTCGTTAGCAATCCACGACATTCAAATTTCTATAACACACGCAGAACGTTGTCACAACGCGTTAGAATACACAGTAGGAACTATATGCATTTTCTATAATCTAGGAATATAAGCGTAGGTAAATTCTGATTCCGATAAGAAGCATTAATATGCTTGCAAATAAAAATAAATTACTCGCCAGTCAAAGAGGATTGTTCATTTCTTCAGAATGTTTCTCACTTACCGAAATTAGTCGTTGGATAAGAAATTGTCAGTACATAACTTTTACGAAAGAGTCCTCCGACATAAATTCTGGAGACTGTAAGTTGAGATTTGTATGAAAGAGAACAGTCATACTGTATATTTATCAAAAAATGAATAATTAAAATATTTCATCCAGTCTTTACGAAAAATTTTTTCTCAAAGCACTAATTTAAAATATTATATTTTTAATTCACTTACAAAAAAAAACAAAAAAACAAAAAAAATAACAACAAAAAAACAACTTAGTTTATGTTGATTAGATAACTTGCCAGGCACTACAAGATGTAGCTTTTTTTTTTTTTTTTTTTTGGCAGAACAGTGCTGTATATTTTTGGCAAATGCTAACTGGTCATTTGATTTCAAAAAGAAAAAAAGATCAATACTTAACTCTGTCAACATGTCTTTTGTCATAATTGCTGGATTGTTAATTCAGATTCATATGAAAAAGAACAATCTTGTATATCAAGAAAATTGATTTAAATAAAATCCATTCAGATTTTACTTAATTTAATATGAATTCAAAAAAATCCCTTCCAACTTTTATTTCAAAAGACAAATTAAGAAAAATTTAAAGTTTGCACTGTATATGAATTGCATTCAAGTCAAATTCTTACAATCTTATTATCTTTAAATAGATAAAATAGATTAATTCTCTCACAAATAGAAATAAAACATTTATCAGTCAAAGAGGATTGATCATTTCTTCCGATTGTTTTGCGCATACTCTAACTAGTCCTTTGATAAAAAATTATCAATGCGTACCTTTGTCGAAAAAGCTCTTCGACAGAAAGTTTTTGGATTGTAAATTGAGAGTTATATGAAAGAGAACAGTCATTATGTGAATAAAATAGTTCATCCAGTTTGTTTTTTACTTTTTTTCAATACACTAAATGAAATAAAAAAAAGTTTTTAATGATATTTCTAATTCAATGACAACAAATTGACTAAGTTTATTTTGATTGGCTAGGCAGTACAATGTATTGCACAGAAT